GGAGGCTCTTCACTTCAAAATTTTTATTTGGTAATTTATTTTTTAAATATTTTTTAATTGATTCTTCACGAGTACCTATTGCCATGTTTCCAAGATACACCCAAGCGCGCCTTTTTACAGCTGTATATATAATTATAATTTTATGTTTATAAATAGATTTAACTTCTTGTGTTGTATTCGTTTTTTCTTTAATTGAAGACGTGGCGATGGGATTGTCCTTGGTTTTTTGTAGGATTTGTGAATATTGCATTGGAACAATATTTTTACTTGTATTTAAATTTAAAATATTTATTTTCTCTTTTAACAACTCATTTTTTTCTTCCATTTCTTGAACTAATTTAACATATATGGCGTTTTCATTTTTTACTGTTTTATTAATTTGAAGAACTTCCAAAACTTTGCGGGCAACCATTTCATTTGCAATACAATATTTACAAACGAATAAATCATCATGAGACTCGCCATTTTTTGCCGAGCAGTTAAAATGATAAGCCAATTGGCATAGTGAACACTTATAGCCATTTGTCACTTTTTTGTTACACGATTTTAAGGCACAATTAACATTTGTATTGGAGCGCGAATTTAACACGTCTTCCTCTTCGGACGACATATTAATATATATATACCGTACCTTCATTTGCAAGCTATACATAGAAAAAATACATTGTAGGTGGACCAGACAAGTTGAAGTCAGCGCAAAGCGAAAAAGTTCTCAGAAATTATTTGGACGTAATAAAATTTTAATCGCCAGTAAACAAGGTCACCTGTTACGTTGCATGTTAGTCTACTCATCCACTCGTCAAAATAATTTCTGGGAACATTTTCGTTTCGCGCTGACCGCGCCGACTTCGACTTGTCAATGTATTTTCCCTATGTATAACTTGCAAATGAAGGTACGGTATATATATGAACAAACACTTTATTATCATAAAAAAACGCAGTTTTAGTGTCGCACCCGTTACAATGGAAATACCCTTAGGTTATATATTAAAAATAAATATATTGTGCATTTATGCCATGCATATAGATATTTGCCTTTTATGCATATTTGCCGTCTCTATCGTAACAGATTACCTTAACCTAATTAACCTAGTAAATTTAACTTTTTGCTCGTTTGTACCTTGTAACCCCTGTTGTTCCGTATATCACCAAACTACTAAAATAATATTTTATTTTATTTAAAAGAAGATGTAAAATTTTAACATGGACAATAAATTTATTAATTTTTAAAGTTATTTTTATTTTACACAATCTTTTGTTACTTTATTTTTTTTTAATGTATTTTTGGGCTTTATTCATTTATATTTTTTTCATAAAAAATCATTTAAAGTAAAGATTTAAACAAACCTGTTATCGTCGGGATATAATTTTATGTAGTTGTAGGTTTTGTGTATTTCGGCTGTATTTTTAAATCAAAAATCAAAATCAAAAATGTATTGCAGTTTGACTTTACTTTCATAACTTTATTATGTATTAGGTATAAACGATAAAAATTTTAAAAAAATTCCACATTTTTTCCAAGTTGTTTGAATTTATTCTTGGAAACATTATAACAACGTTTTTAGCAATACATTTTTCCAACGTATTTTAAAACTGGGTTTTGTGTATTTCTGTCTTATTTTTGATATTATTGCAGAGTTTGATTTTACTTTGTAACCAATATGTATTATTAAGAATGAAAAATAATAAAAAAATTCCACATCGATGTAGCTATATATAGCTACATTTATAAATGTAGGTTTTGAGTATTTTGGCCGTATTTTTGATACTATGACTTTCAAAATTTTATTGAAGAGTTTGATTTTACTTTTATAACTAATATATTATAAAGAATAAAAATTGAAAAAAAAATCCAACGTTTCCCAGCTACGTATTATATATATATTTCCCATTTAAAATCATACATTCAAATAACGTTTTCATTCAACGTTTCAACTACGTATTTCCCACTTTAATGCGTCTGTAACAATAGTGTTAATGTTAATGATAATGTTAATGTTAATGTTAATGTTAATGTTAATGTTAATGTTAATGTTAATGTTAATGTTAATGTTAATGTTAATGTTAATGTTAATGTTAATGTTAATGTTAATGTTAATGTTAATGTTAATGTTAATGTTAATGTTAATGTTAATGTTAATGTTAATGTTAATGTTAATGTTAATGTTAATGTTAATGTTAATGTTAATGTTAATGTTAATTTTAATGTTAATATCCAAAGCAGAGAAAAATGCGTGTATCCTTTCACATCGATGGTAATGGTGATGGTGACGTTAATGGTTGTGGTTAACGATCCAAAAAATGTCTGCATTTTACCATTACCATACATATCCTGTACCTTCTACCAATGGAAGCAATGAGCGCACGCATGCGCCAATCGCACAAAAGTAACGTTGAATGGTTGTATGTAGTTTGGCTATGTTTCTTTTATGGATGCTTTGTTTATGGTTGTTTTCAAACAGTTTGTAATAAATATCATTAAAATGATGTGAAACCATAATATAATATATTTTTAGAACAATAATGACATTTCAGGTTAAAATTTTTAAAACATTTCACAAGGCATGGTTGGTAATCCTTGTTTCACTGCCCGCTAAATTTAAAACATAACTTTTATCCGAAATCGGCAGTTATACATTTTAAGATGTGTCTACTGCTCCTCAGCAGCAACTAAATAATATTTTTAAAAAAAGCACCGTCGCGGAGGTCGATTGGACTCTGCCATAAAATGTTGTTTAATAAAAATAATAAGTTAATTTTAATAATTAGATTAAAAAATCGCCGCGGCTGGCAAATATATAATAACCATCACAACAAACAGTATACATAGACACTTTCTACATTCAAATGACATTTGATTTAATCATCAATATTAATTATTAGTATTATTAAATGTGATTTCGAATAAAATTTAATATGCACCTCGGCATTAAAGTCATTTTTTATCACTCACGTAGTTATTTGCCTCGGCTTTCGCCTTTCCTAACGTCTGAATCTAGGTAAACATTAATTTCTACCAGGGCAGTAACTTGTGTTTTAATATGGCAGAATTAGTGATTCCATACGTTAAGGAGTGGGTGCAAAATGTGTTGTGTGGTGGGGTTATTAATTAACCGTTATTATAACTATGAATAAAATTTTCAGACAAATAGTTTTCATTTTATTAAGTATTTAGGTTTTTAATGAATATAGGTAAATGGTTTCATATGAAACTTTGGATTTATTTTTTGGTAAAACATATAAAAACAAATATAGGTTAATATATATGGTAGAGTCGGCAAAATCTTTCTGCCTTGTAAATCGTACCATTGCAATTTTTCATATTGCAAGTAGGTTCCCTATACGAACCCTACTTGCAATATGAAATATTACTATTACTATTTATACTGTTTGGTTCCAATGGTACGATTTACAATTGTAATTGCCTTAAGGCAGTCCAATTTCTACCCTGCTTTCAATGTTTCTCGAAGTTAATAATATATATATAATACAATTGTAAATCGTACCATTGGAACCAAACAGTATAAATAGTAATAGTAATTTTTTATATTGCAATTAGAGTTCGTATAGTTCGTATATATACAAAAAAAAAAAAAATAATATACTATATTTATATTCATAATTTATTATATCTTAGCTATTATTATCAACTGAACTGGCTATTATTATAAACTCAAAATTAGGTACCTCCCAAGCAACAATTTAAGTATTTGTTACGTATATGGGACTATTGAAGAAACTTTAAAGTGTTTTGCGACAGTCGCCGGTCTCTCTATATTACTCTTTTATTACTAAGTTGCGACTAAAGTGGGGAACAATTATTGAGTTCCAAAAAGGTAGCAAATATGTCACTAGCTATAAACCCTGCTACTATTTGGAACGTAGCTGCTACGTTACTAGAACGTTCCAATATCGTTGCTAGAGCGTTATAATTACTTTTATTTATTTGTTTTTACTTCTATATTAACTGTCTTTGTCAAACTTATATTAGATTATACTATCCCCCCTTTTTTTAAGTGGAACCACTACGGACTTGGCTTTTCAATGTCGTCGTTTATTAAATATGTACTGGTAGTTTATAACTTTCAGAATAACAATATACTGTTTAATTAGGCAGGTAAATTTATAAACCCTTTAAATTTTACTGTTGAACTTTTGAATTTAGTTTTTGTAAAATAAATGCGCTTCATCAATATTTAAGTATAAACAAATTATTTATTTAGTAAAGTTTATAAATAAAAAAATCTTAATATTTATTATTAATTTTTTTATTTAATTATTTATACCGTCTATTACCAACAAAATTACTATTTATAAAAAAGTAAACAACCATTTACAAACAATTAAAATAATTTATTATTTACATTACCACGTGGTACTGTACAGTAAAAAATGGCCGATAAGAAGCATTTTCCTTTGAAGTAGTTTTCGCTACTTTAAAGTTTTTTCCACTTTACGGTTGTTTTGGTTAGTACCATAAACGTTCCAAATACTAAAATAATAACTTTTAAGTTATTAACTTTGTAGTTTTTAACTCATGTTCCAGTTTCGAGATTTTAACTTGCAAAGGGACTACAAAGTAAAAATAATTATAATGTAATCTTTAGGTAGCAACCGAAAGTAACTGCTACAAATTAAATTTACTTGAAAGTTTTTTTTACCTATAACACCTTTTTTAAAGTTGCAAAGTCTTCTTGGGGGCAACCAAGTTTTACTTAAATGTTTATTTTTTTATAGTAACCATTTAAGGAAAAATTAAGTTTCTGTTACAAAATATTGCTATTTAATAGTTAGAATTACTTTTAAGTAAAAATTAAAGTAGCTGTTTAGTATACTTAACTTATTTAAAGTTATCACCACTTTGGCAATGGTTTTTGGAACCAAAAATGCTGCTTGGGCTACCATACTTATTTTATTATAATATTTTCCTTTTTTAATTGAATTGATCTTTCTTTCACGAATTAGTTTATAAAATTTGAGAAATATAATTATTATTTTAGGAGAAGATATATTTTATAACCGAATACCTCTTCACAAATGTCCAGGATTTATATGCAAGAAAATTAATAAGTGTCTTCCCAAAAAAAGACGCTGTGATAAAATAATAGATTGTTTTTTGGGAGATGACGAACAAGATTGTGAAAACAAATTTTCAAGAATTTTGGGGAGCTCAAATAACAAATTTGGAAATACTAATTCAAAAACTTCAAACACAACTATTACAAAAGTAAAAAAAAATAAGTCTCCAGTATTAATTAAAAACAGTACCACAATAACATTATCAAACAATGTTTTTAAATGTAAAAGGTATTTTGATTTTGATCATAATATATATTATATATATTATTAAATAAATAATATTTTTATAGAATGCTACAAATTATTAATATAAAGAAAAGGTGTGACAAAATAAGGGATTGTGAGGATGGCACTGATGAAGAACATTGTCTTTGCGTGGATTATGTTAAACATTTTAACACAAGGGCCATTTGTGATGGAATTACAGATTGTTTTGATATTTCTGATGAAAACAACTGTAGTAAGTAAACTTAACTGAATTTAACGAGTACTATATTTTGTTGACCTGTATTGATTATTTTTACAATAATCATGTACCTATACAGTCAAACTTTGATAACTCGAACCATGACTTGCTATAAAAAACTTCGAGTTATTAAGACTTTGAGTTATTAAATTACACATACCTGATTCTCACTCTTGGCGTTATTATTGCCAAGCAATTTGATTCGAGTTATCAAAAATTCGAGTTATCGAAGTTCGAGTTATCAAAGTTTGACTGTATTAATATTATGTTTCTTTTTAGAAAACTGCAGTAATTTGGAATTTTATTGTCAATTTTCAAATAAATGCATTTCATTGAAAAAAAATTGTGATGGAATAATGGACTGTGAAAAAAATGAAGATGAAAGAGACTGTGGTGTGTAAACAAAATATTTCTACTATAGTACTACTATAATTTTACGTAAAAAAACTCTTTCATGTGGTGTAGTTAAAACACTAACTTTCAAGTATAGAATGTCCCTTTTTGCCCACTTAATTTTATCTTTTTCTACAATCAATATCTTAATTTCAAAACGGTTTTACGAAAATTCGGTCTACGATAACTACAAATAATATGTATATATTATACAGTAGGGTGGGCTTAAACATTTTTGTTTAGAAAATCAATATTGGGTAGGTATTAAAAGCTGTCCTAAAATACACAATAAAGTTTCCCCAAAGCTGGTTGACCTAAAATATTATTTAGCCTCGCCCCTAGAGTGGGCCGGCCAGGTAATGTATCTAACCGCTCGAGCGCGCTCCCCTGGATGGTAAAGGGGTTACTTTTTTAATAATATATGTATTGATTCGCGGTAAAAAAAATAAAATATATTTCATATCATTACTTCAAAAAAATTAGAATGTCAAATTTACGGTTCTACTACGGGCTCGCACATTCCATGCCACCTAATAATAAAAAACGTTTAGTGATAAATTGTTAATTACAATTTTTGTTTACCTAGTTTATTTAAATATGTTTTATCTATTTGAAAAACCTGGCAAAAAAGTTAGCAAAATTAGAAACTTTTAAGTGTGATGGGCGAAAAATTTTAATGTTCCCTTGCGGCCTTGAGTTTACGGTTTATTCACCATGAATTTACTGTAAATTCACTGTGAATTCACCGTGAATAAACCGTGAATAAACCGTCTGTTTGTGACATTTGTAAACGGTAGTTAGACGGCGAATTCACGCACTTTTCACAGTATTTTAATTGTGAATCCACCGTATTTTGGCGGTATATTCACGGTGAATTCACGGTGAATTCACAGTGAATTCACGGTGAATAAAACAATAATAATAACACAATCGACTATAGCTAGCCATTATTCGTTACTGAGCAGATGAGGATGGAGATGGGGACTTCAAACAATTAATGTTCAGCTATGCCATTACAGACGCACACTTCCAACCCAACGCTATTTATAGTTAGCTCGCTTGCGTAAGCAGCCGTGAGATGTATTGCTTAAACCGCTTAACACAGAAATCGACTAATAAAAAAACCGCTAATAAATGGCATCCAACTTGTTGTTTTTTTCTTTATGATGGCGTCTCAAGTTGATTTTGCGCAGCTACACGAGAGCTCTCTTGCGATATTTGTATTGTATTGGGAATAACCAATTAGCAGATTGTTCGAATCTTACACTTACAATTTGCGGTGTTTTCACAGTCGATTTACGGTGTTTTCACAGTAAACTCACAGCGCTTTTACGGTGAATTCACGGTGATTTCACGATAAATTTACGGTACTTTCACAGTGAATTTGCGGTGATTTTGCAAACTTGAGTTCACCGTGAATTTACCGTGAAATCACCGTGAATTAACCGTGAAATCACCGTGAATTTATCGCAAAAACAGCGTGAGTTCACCGTTTAATTACCGTCTACAAATGTCACAAATGGACGGTATATTCACTGCACATAAACGGTGTATTCACGGTGAATTCACGCAAACGGTGAATTCACGGTGAATTCACCGTAAACTCAAGGCCGCAAGGGTTTGTTTGTGCAAGTGAAGGGGCTTCATCTAAGAGTGTTTCTCGTAAGGTTTCAAGTGGTATTTTCAAAGTGGCAGAAATATGTGCCCAAGTGCCTTAGTTGAAAACTCTTAGACAAAGCTACAATATCAATTTAATTGAAAATGTGACTTAGGCACTTCTTGCATTGACCCCTTCAAGTGTACAATGTACACTTTACATATCAAGTTTGTAACTGTGAAAGGAAAAGAAAGGTACCCGAAGCCGAGTGGCCATTTATAATTGACCAAAGAAATAAACGTAATATGTGAATTGTTTCTCTGTAGGTATGTAATAGCCACAAAAAAAAACTTTAAAATAATATTAAAAGAAAGCAAAAAGATAGAAGGGCTTTGGTAAAAGGTGTAATAAATATGAACCATAAGCAAGTACAAGTGGTATGTGTGGGATTTTCACTGATCAATACAGCTAAACCAGCAGATTTTACAGCCTGTAAATTACAGGTGTATCTAGCCGAAATGTATTGAAAATTGCTACAGCAGTTTTAAAATACATATTTTTAAAATCGGCTAATAATTATAATCAAATCAATGTCGTAGATAAAAATAAAGTTAGAAGACATATTGAAAAGAACAGGAACAGAATCAGACAGTCCCAGTTGTTTGATTCAAAATCCATTGATGGACGTAAGGACCAGACCATGGTCCAACAAGAAGGACGTCGGGTAAGGCGAGCTCAAGAACACATCGAACTAATTTAAGAACCTTAGAGCAAATACCACCGGGCAATGATTAGTTGTGATAGGACCAACGATAATACTGGTTGGAAAGAAGCCGTAACAGAATATTTGAATCACAATTAAAAAAAAACCACTTCAGTGGAGAATTTGTCTATTACATGTTAATAAACTCACTACTTGCTGATTGCAAAAAGTCTCCTGTTTTAGAATTTAAAACAGACATTAAGCTAACTTTACTTAATAAAAAAGATCTAAGCACAGACCAAAAATATTTATATTCCATTTGGTAGGCAATAAAAAGTGGTGTGTGCTCAGAAAAACTTACCTCTCAAAATCCAGGTAAAACATGTCATGCAAGGTGGTTGACTACACCCAATCGTATCTTACGGCTGTATATTTTTATAAAGCAGCCAACTAAAAATCTATTTGTGTTGGTGGAATTTATTATAAAAGTGTATGCACCTTTATGGCTTAAAATTAAAGGAAATTCATCTATACAATATGGTGCACGGCATATATGGAATACAAGACGTGCTTCTAGACATTTTCCATATAATATTAGGCAATTATTAACAATGTTATTGATGTTAACAAAAGTGCTCTTTTAGTTCCTCCCTTACTTCCTAAGAAGTCCCAGAAGCCAACTGAATGGCTTGTGCGGGTTAGGGGTAGGAACGGTCCGCGGGCTTAAAGTTCCTTCTGAAGGACTAATACACAATAAGACAAACACAAATAAACAACCACACCAATGTGGGAATCGAACCCACGACCCCTCGGCTTTTTTAAAAAAAGATTGGCAACGTTGCATTCCCCAGTGTTACTGAAATTCCAATGAATTCTAAAAGTGAACTTTTTCCGTACCTAAATAATTTTATTAAGCAAGTGAACTTGTTATTTGTGTAATAATGTATGGACCAAAACTCATTCGATTTGAGTATTTTTAACCCTATTTTTATAAGATTTTAAGTTAGAACCGCGCGCAAGAAGTGCCAAGTCAGTGTTTATTGTGTGGGTATTACTAAAAAATTCTCTCAGAACACCTTAAATAGTTTTTCTTTTGAAATTATGCCTGCATTAATTTGCCAGTATTCTTCTAAGACAACCGAAGAACATAGATCATTGTTGGTGATGAGGGGGGGTAAGCGTTGCAATATAATATTGTTGAATATCCCCGAGCAACATGGTGATAACCCTAATGAGAGATTATCACAAGAAAAAAAATTGTGACGAATCTTTTCTACAGTATTAAAACAGATGTAAAAATTAAAAAACAGCCGGCTCGCTTGGAAAAATTTCGTAAACAATAAATCTCTCCCCCTTAAAGTTTTTCCTTCTAATGAACAGGATGTTAATTCAGTTTTTAAAAATGCATTCAAATTAAAAAATAGTAATGATTTTAAACATATATCAATAGCTAAAGATAAAACTACTAGACAAAATAATTACTATAAATTGATTAAAAGTGAATTAGACGAAAAAATTGAGAATGGAGAAACTGTAAAAATTAAATATATTAACAACGTCCCAACCATTGTACCAATTCAAGAAAATTTAAACTTGTAAAGCCCAACACTTCGCCTCCATCTATACAACTACAGTTAGTGCGTACTATCAAAATGTTCGGGGTTTTAACTCAGAAAATTACGTCTAGTGTGAATTCGATATTGTTTGCTTGACTAAAACCTGGTTGTCTTGTGATGTCTATAGCTCAGAATTTTTTTCCAAATTCTTACTCTGTATTACGCTGTGATAGAAAATTTGAATTAATTAACTTTGCAAAAGGAGTTGGTGTTTTGATAGCAGTTAAAAATGATTATCCTATTAAAATAATTAATTGAAAATGTAAATTGTGTGAAGATTGTAGGCTTTAAGATTGGTATAAGTCCAAATGTATCATGTACTGTTATTGTTTTATATATTCCGCCCAAAATAACATTAACGGATTTTTAGAATGTTTTTGATATTTTAGTTACTTTAGAATGTTTACATAACAAAAATATTGTTATTGTTGGGGATTTAAATACACCAAATCTTGTTTCTTATGATAAAAGTGAATTGCAGATCTCAAGTCCTAAGTAACTTTACTGAGCTATTGGATCTCTTGCAACATAATAATATAAAAACCAATTTAATAAACTTTTTGATCTAGTTCTGTTAAATATTTATTGCGAATTTAATTGTGAAAAGCATCCGTAAGTAACTTTAGATCATTATTGCCATTCTTTAAACTTTACTATACATTTTCCAGCACCATACATAAATTTTAATCGCAATACCCAACATTTTTCCTATAACTTTAAAAGAGCTAATTATCCACTTTTGTATGGCTTAATATTAGATATTGACTGTTCATCTTTAAAATTATTCCAAAGTGTTAATAAAATGTGTAATACAATGTACAAAAAACTGTTTGAAGTTTTTGATAGATCCATTCCCTTTAATAAACAAGTTATACAAAACCTAAGTTAAAAAAGCATTACCACAAAAAATATAAAAAAAAACATCAAAACCTATTTATTTAACTTTGTTTAAAGAATTAAGAAATAATATAAAAATACAAGTATTGGATGCCTACAAAAATTATATGATAACTTTGGTTCAAAATATAAGTAATAATCCAACATCGTTTTGGTTATTTATTAATTCTAATAAAGGGTTTTCGCGAATTCCAAGTAAAGTTACATACAATAATATTGTAAATGCCTTTGCCGAATATTTTAAAAGTGTTTATATACGCTCTGGTTCAGTATTCAATAATAACTGTGATATGGAAAGTGGCAATTTATTTTAAACAATTAACATTTCCAGCTTTTATGAAACGGATATTAAGAGTGCTATTAAAAAACCAAAAGATAAAATGAAAGCTGGTAATGATAATATTCCTAGTTTTCTTTTGAAAGACTGTGGTTGTGCATTTTTGACCCCTTGATTGATTTATTTATTGATTTGAAGGGGAGCCTCTGCAGGCAGCACGTAGGTACACATACGGCCCATTGTTCAAACCCCCTTTAGGTGAATCCCTTCCTTATCTTCCTAATGAGGAGCCCGTAACTTTTAATAAAAGCGCAGCGGGACTGGTCGGGCATGCATTATTTCCCATATTTCGAGATACCTTCCCCGAGGTGTCTTAGTCTGCTATTGACTAGGACGTCGCATTTTCAGACTACCTCTCTGCAGTACCTACAATTCGTCTCGTTGCTAAGTCCGGTTTTATGTAGGTGGTATCCAGTATCCTGTTAGGACTCCTGTGATGGCCCTTTTTCGTTGCCTTTGATACCTCGATGACCCGGCACCCAGACAAGGGTGTCCTTGTTGAGCGCACTGAGGAATTCTAGGGTTTTTATGCAGACCAGTGTAAGCCTCGAGTTGACCCTTTCTGAGTAAATAGCCTGGAATGCTGCTTGACTGTCGCTACATATGTAGATATGTTTACCCAAGTAACCTCTTTGAAGATTCCCCATTGCCGGTGTTGGACAGGTTCAAAAAGCCCCAGATATACCCATGCGGTCCAAGTCGTTGAACCTTGTCCAGCTTTTTCTTGTAGATGGATTTGCTTAGCGCATTCCACCATACTATACTGCCGTATGTGATCATTGGCCTTAAAACTGTTGTGTAAAGCCAGTTTTTTGACCCCCTTATTATTAATATTTAATAAAATTTTAAGTTCTGGAGTCTTTCCAGTTTCCAAAATTACCCATGCTTTAAAAAGGGTGGCAATTCTCTAGTTGAAAATTATCGGCCTATATTAATCATTTGCAATTTTGCTTAAATATTTGAATCAATTATATACTCAGAAATATTCTCCTATGTTGCTCTTGCCAACATGGCTTTATGGAAAAGAGATCTACTACAACCAACCTTGTTTGTTTCACACAATATGTTAGTAAATTACTTGATAATCAAGGTCAATTGGACGTAGTATATTATATACTGTATATACCGACTTCCAGAAAGAATTTGATCAGATTGACCATTTAATGCTGATTAAAAAGCTATACAACTTTGGGTTTAGTTATACACTTATTAATCTCCTAACATCGTTCTTAATAAATAGACAGCAGATTGTTTCATTTAACGGTTTTTGATCGAATTCTTTTATATCCACGTCTGGAGTGCCACAGGGTTCTAATTTGTGCCCTCTTCTGTTTCTCGTGTTTATTAATGATCTTTCTGATAAAATAAGTTGTCTTAAGCTTATAATAATAATAAAAATAATAAATAGCTTTATTCTTCAATTTGTTTAACAAAAGGCGAAGTTCAACAAATTGCCAAAGGGCTGTTGTTCTTCCACTTACCCTAGCTTATAATAGATAAATAATGTGCTAATTCTAATATAATAAAAGAAAACATAACCAACATTTAACCGAGTACATATTAAAGAAAACTAAAATAGGTAGATATTATAGAATAAAAGAAATTTTAACGATTAACATAAATTAAAAAAATTAATTGTTTTAATTTGGTTTTAAAAAGTAAAATTGAGCATACTCGTAGTTTCAAATTGTTAGGTAACATGTTACATAAAAGTGCAATATTATAGGTAAATCTTTTTTGATAAATAGAAGTAAGTAGTATGTTAAGGAATTGTAATAGTACCCTTATGCCTTAAATTTTGATGTACATCAGTTCTAAATTTTATTTTGTTATGTAAGTATTGAGGTAGCTTAGTAGAGTACAAGTGAATGTTGTACTCGCCTCTCCCTCATTCTAAGCCAATTTAATTGTTTAATTTTAGTTGTAACATGATCTCTGCGCTTAATACTACAAATAAAACGTACACACATATTTTGCATTAATTGTATTCTGTTAAAATATGCAGATGGTATAAATTTACCAGGAAATAAAAAGGACAAGATAACCTTAATATACTCGATAAATGATGCATAGATATCATGTTAAAACTAAATGCAAAATGCAAAGTTAAGTCTTATACAACCAAAAAGGAACCCTTTATTTTATCAAATTAACGGCATCTCTTTAGAATTAGTTAGTTCCATTAAGGATCTTGGTGTGTTTGATCATAAACTTGAGTTTGTTTCGCACATCATTGTTAAATCAGCTTTTAAGACACTTGGATTTATAATAGTAGAGGGTTTAATGTATCTCAAACAATGCACTTATTGTATTTTACATTGGTACGAAGTAAATTGGAGTAAGTGAGTGTGGTCTGATCGCCCGTATAGGTTTGTCATGCAAGTTACTTAAAGTCTGTGCGGAGACGTTTTTTTAAGCTTTAAATTCATTGCTTTTATCTTGGGCAAGGGTACGATAACATAACTTTATTAACTTTTTTTATTTTTGTATTATTGTCAACCAGAAGAGAGATTCTATCTGTAACTTTTTTGTACAAGCTTGTAAATTTTAATTCTTCTGATTTATTAGTTTTTGTTGATTTTTTAATTCCCAGAGCTGGTAGTCGCCTGAGCCATACTCTTGTCCATTTGCTTGAACTAATGTTCTAATCACCCTAAATTCACATGTATAAGACTGATTGAATGTCTAATATTTAATTTTGTTTGTTCACTTTTAGATTTAGTTTAAGTTTTAGGTACCTACCTTTTAAGTAATTTTTTTTTGTAAGCCTCTGTTTAATTATATGAATGTCCTGTTTTGGTGTAAACTGTTAGGCAATTAAGTTTATATTATTATTATAATTATTATTATTATAGTCATCAGCATTGACCACTATTCCTCCGTCGGCGGTGCAATATTATTAATAATGTTGGCAGATCAACGGTCACATGTCAGAGAACTTGCTATACGAAGAATTTTGCAAAGTGAGAAAAAATATGCAAAATAACGTTCAAATTTTCAGTGACAAAACTAAAATTTGCTGCCCAGGATTATATTGATCTTATTGACTGGTCTCAGACTATAACAGAACAGCCACTTACAATGCATATTTTAGACAAATATCTTTTTAATAACGTTTTCTCTGCCACATCCAGGAAGTTAAAAGTACTGTACAGATTATTACAGAGTTTGTGGGCCAAAAGCACAATTGCCAAGTTTAGAAATAAAAATCAGTATTACAGAGCAAAAGCGGATTAAGTTTAATCTAAGGTGAGAGAGTGGCCACATCCTTAATTGAAAAACTTAAAACTAATAGGGTAGCAGCTAAATTTTAATACCTATTTATGTATCGTTTTTATTTGTGGAAATATATAATGATTTAAATAAGTCTTTGCTACTAATCAAGGCCGATTTATTAAATTTTTTGAAACTACTCCTTTGGATCCCCCGGGGCGCGCCTAGATAAGTTAATTATCCTGATTTGTTTAACAACATTTTGGTCCATTAAAGTTCAGACCTGGAACCTCTCCTATTTCTATTATTTATTAATATCTGTGAAGTTATGTATACACATATAAGAACTCTTTAAAACTTTGTTAGTGATTTTTGTTGAAGTACTGATTTCAATTTATTGCAATGAGTAAAAATATAAATGTTTATATTTTCTAATACATTTAATTTTCTGTAAATCATTGAAATTATTTTGAATATGTTATTCAATGTTATTTTAATAATTAATTTTAGAAATCATAACAAATGGAAAAGTTGTATTAATGGATAGTGACTCACGACCCGAACTTCTAAATTCCGGATTGGTTACAATTAATAGGTTTGGTATTTGGAAACCACTTTGTGTAAATTCATTAAGCCATCCTTTAGTTGCCACAAATGTTTGCAGCTCTCAAGGGTTCGATGGTTATGTCGTCTACCAGAAATATTTTACTCAGGAAATTTCACTTAAAGTTGTGTATAAAGACAATAAAGGTATTTCTTTGTTATTACAACATGATTTGTGTTTTAAGTACACATATTTTCGCCTTATGCAAAAAACTAAACTTTTCCACCACTTTTTTTATTTATTTTAAATAACTTATTCTATGAGCCTATACCAATATATATTGCATCAGGGCGGAGACAAATACATTATGGTAACAATTTAATATGCCTATATTGGCTGAGCAAAATACATGAGGAAAAAAATGTAATATGAAAAATATATTACATTTTTACCATCATGTATTTTGCTCAGCCAATATATGCATATTAAATGGTTGCCATCATGTTTAGCTCGGCCCTTATATTGCATCTCTTATAAAAGAACAATACAACTTTAATATTTTAAATACTCATTCCAAATTCCGTAGACATAAAATTAGTCGGGTTTGGATCCCCTAATATAAGTACTATTTTCAGATCAAAACTTAACAAATACTAGGTTAAACCAAAACATAAATATTTGCGAGGGTCTTTTTGTTGTTTGTTCCAATATTTCTACGGATATATCAATACACAATTTATTTAAACAATATGGAAAGTCTAAACCCTTGTATGCAACACCCTGGAATGTGCTTATATATGCTAATGGTGTATACAGATGTATGGGAACAATTCTTAACGCTCAATGGATTATCACGTCTCTACACTGTTTTGAAGATGTAAAAAGGTAAGTAAAAATACGCATATAATATAACAGTGGCTTATACGTTTACATTACTAATGTCAAAAATAGCACTACAAGCAGTAGCGTGCAAAGGTGATCGGGGGCCCCCCCGCAAATTTTGATCTGGGGCCCCTTTGTCACTTATTCCACCCAATGTGGTTCTCTACGGGGCCCCCCTAAGGTCGGGGGCCCCCCCGCACCGCGGGCCCTGCGGGGCCCGTCCTGCACGCCACTGACTACAAGGTCCGTCACTCAAAGTGATTCTAATTAAATTGGATTGACCCTAAATATTTCATTAAAACCTGATAATTGAATCTTAACGAAATATGATTGAATCACGATTATGTTTTCATGGTCGAACATGATCCACTTGGAAATCCTATTGAAAATGATCGAATATGATTAAACTTTGATCATGTTTTCATGATCCACTGGAATATCTGATCAAAATATGATAAAAAGAGATCGAATTTCGATCAGTGTCTTTCAGCAGGGTAACACTTATTTAAATTATTATAACTTTAAAAAGGAAGAAGATACTAACCTAAAATTTGTTGTACTTATAGTTTAGGTATGTCTCTGTAAAAATTTATATTCTTTTTTGTAACATTATCATACACTTAATAATATTAAAAATAACAATAACAAGTTCATCATTTCTTGAGGAATATTGTTCCATTTCTCCTACTTAAACCTAAAGACTATTTGGCTGTTCTCGATCCCGCAATCTTCTTCCCATGATGCTCCAAAGATGTTTAATAGGGTTTAAGTTAGGGCTGTTAGCTGGCCACTTCATTATAGTGAGATTTTTCTCTTTAAAAAACTGTTAAACAATTCTTGCAGTGTGTGGCCTTACCCTGCTTAAAATACCCCATAGAAACCCTGTTCAAACCGATAGATATTTGTATCGGTGTTTCTATAGGGTGTATCGGTATGTATAGGACCCATATTTGGGATTTATGGTTGTTCTATAGGGATATCCACCCTTGATTTATTTGCTATTGGTTTCAATGGGGGGTTACACATACATGTAGAAATTACTTTTCCCCCATAGGACCCTATAGGTTTTAATAAAATTTTGTCAAGTGTTTTATGGTTGCTTTATAGAGATATACCCATATATCCTTCATTGAGTTATTTTCTATCGGTCTCAATAGGGAAAATGTAAATGTTATTGTGTGCCTATGGGTAGTTTCCTATACATTTTCTATCGGGCCGTATCCGAAAAAAACCATGGACAAATGCACATAGTGAATCCGGTAGCGCCCGATAGATTATTTTGTATAGGTCTCTATGGGGTATTTTAAGCAGGGTACATTATCCTGTTAAAACATACAATTAGAGCCTTCTTTATGAGCCTTGGAAGGACAATATATTTTAATATCGCCTAGCTGTTACAGTAGCATTAGCACAATAAGGATGTTCATCGGTAAAAATATAATGGCTCCATTAATAAATATCCCAATTTGCATCTTCTGCTGTAAAGTTTCTTTTTGCTTTACGATGAGCTGGTGTTAAATAAGGAACAGTAGCTTGACTTCTTGAGTGTAAATGGGCTGTAAAGTCTGTTATGGGTAGTCTGTATAGATATCCGTCTGCAGCGGGCTACGTATCTCTGCAAACGCCCTTCTTGTATTAGTGTGAAGCCCTTCTTGTATTAGTGTGACGCCCTTCTTGTATTAGTGTGATAAATGATAGAGCTCACAAACAAAACCTGGGGTCGATTTCGATTTTTCATTAATAAATATCCCAATTTGCATGTTCTGCTGTAAAGTTTCTTCTTGCTTTACGATAAGCTGGTGTTAAATAAGAAACAATAGCTTGACTTCTTGAGTGTAAATGGGCTTCGTGAAGTCTTTGATGGATAGTCTGTATAGATCTCTACAAACGCCCTTCTTGTTTTAGTGTGACGGCTCCAGCTACTTCAATTTTAGGCAATGGGCCTTCCAAGAACATCCTTATTCATAATTTTAAGTTAATAAATATTGTTACAAACAGTTTAATTCCCGTACAAAGTAAGTACAAGTAGGTATCCATTTCTTTCAATTTTTTGCGTTTAATTATTTTCTCAAATCTCGAGAAAAAAGTATGGTGTTTTTATATTGAAAATATACCCATACAGGTGTGCTCGTCATTTACATACATTTTTATGGAAAATATTTATAAAGTTGATTAATTTTGTGATTCCTATTTCGTTGTGACTAGGTTATTTTGTAGAAATTATTGGATCAAACATGCTTTATGGGACCACGCCACGTACTGCTAGAATGTCCAGCGGTGGGCACCAAATTAATTGGGAATTCAACCAAATTAATTGGGAATTCAACACTGTTTGTCCGTATACTTTCTTGTTCACCTTTTATGCCATTTCCTGTACTTTTTATTTCTTTTAGGTTTTTAACTGAAGTATATTTTTTAGTATGCGCCGTATGCATACGGCGCATACTGAAAAATATACTTCAGTTAAAAACCTAAAAGAAATAAAAAGTACAGGAAATGGCATAAAAGGTGAACAAGAAAGTATGCTTGAGTCGGACACGTTCAGATTTTTTGAACAATTCTTGCAGTGAGTGGCCTTGCATTATCCTGTTACAAAATAAAATTAGGGCCTTCTTGATGAGCCCATGAAAGTACAATGGGTTCAAATATCGCCTAGCTGTTAGAGTGGCATTTTCAAAAACATATAGATAAAGATATACGCCTGTTCATTTTAATATCACCCCAAACCATTACGGAAACAACTCCAAAGGCTCATACTTCTCTCACAGTGGAATCCAAAATCGTTTACCACGGCGTCTATAGACTCGCACACGTCCATCGTTGTAGTAAAGGTAAAATCTTGATTCATCTGTAAAAAGAACATGGCTCCATTGATGAATATCCCAACTTGCATGTTCTGCTGTAAAGTATCTTTTTGCTCTACGATGAGCTGGTGTTAAATAAGGAACAATAGCTTGACTTATTGAGTGTAAAAAGGCTTCATGAAGTCTGTTACGGGTAGTCTATAGAGATATCCGTCTACATCGGGCTACGTATCTCTGCAAACGCCTTTTTTGTATTGGTGTGACGGCTCTAGCTACATTAATTTTAAGCAATAGGCCTTCCCAAAACATCCTTATTGATAATATTAAATTAATAGCAAATGTTACAAACAGTTTAATTGGTGAACAAAGTAAGTACAAGTATTCATTGCGTTCAATTAAATGCGTTTGATTAATTTCTCAAATCCTGATAAAAAGTATGGTGTTTTTATATGGAAAATATGCATTCAGCTGTGCTCGTTATTTACATACATTTTTCTGACAAATATTTGAAAATAGTATTTATTTTATGATGAATATTTCGTTGAAAATAGTTTAATTAAGTAGTAGAAATTGTTGGATCAAACAACAGCCACGAATGTCCAGCGGTGGGAACCAAATTAATTTCAATGATTCAACTCATCATTTAACACTGTTTGTCCGTTCACTTGCTGTATAAACTTTTGTGCCAGTTTTAAATTCTGTACTTATGTTTCTTTTAGGGTTTCACCCAAAGTTCATTTTTCAGTATGCGCCGTATGCTTGACTCCGATACTTTCAGATTTTTAGCCAATTTTGTTGCGCTCTGAAATGGATTTCGTTAAATTCGAGCTTTCACTTTTAGAACCATTTTTGCCGATATTACAGTTTTTTTGACCGCCCCTATGCTTATCAGTATCATTGTAAAGCGCAATGGTTCGATAAATAAACATTTTGTTCACACATAAATGATAGAGCTTACAAATAAACTGGTTTCGATTTTCTGGTCAAATATAAGGCAATATTACAATATCACTATTACGTTTAAATTCAATTTGGAATGTTTTTATTCGATTACGACCTACCGATACAGACTATCGGTGGACAAAATATGACAACGCTGTAATTAACTGTTTAGTAGCTGTAACACTTCGAGTGAATGCACAGCTCCTAATTTTTGCAAAATTGTCTAAAATTACCACACCAATTTAATAAAATTTGACGTTTATGTACTATACATGTACAGCACTTTGAAATTACACAATGGTTCAAATAATTCAAAACATTTAAACACAAATTGACATATCTACTTTTATTTTGTATGTTTATTTTAATCTTATAAAATTATTGTGACAAGAAAAAAAATCTATCTAATAAAAGTTAATTTTTTTAAGGTTTTCTGACTACTATGTAGTTGCTGTTTTGGGTATGGGAAAAACAAATTTACCAGTTGCTGGTCCATACGAAAATATTATACAAGCAACTGAAATGGTAAGGATTTCAAATTCCGATATAATTTTGATTCGCCTTAAGAAGGAAATTAAATATACAAGATACATTAAGCCTACGTATCTATATGCAAGGTAAATTCGAAATATTCAATGTTGCAAATTTAAAACTATTTATTTTTTATATCTTGTTTTGCTATTATAACAAATGTAAATACTGTGTACAAATATAAAAAATTATAATATTGTTATACTGTTTTATTAGACGTGATAGTGTCCAAAAAGAAAAATGCATTGCCACGGGGATGGAAAATGGAAATTTGGAATACGTACAGTTAACCTCAATAAAAGAATGTTTGGAGGGATTAAGATGTTTTGAAAGTAAATTAAAAGTTTGTAATTCAACTGTTAAATGGAGTGGTACTATTATATGTGACTCCAGAAATGGATGGTATCCGGCATCAGTATTTAATGTCGAAAATGGAAGTTGTGGGTTCTCCAAAGTTAAACATTTAACCAGTATTAACTATTTTAAAAACAAAATTCAAAAGGCCATAAGTAAGTTAACTTTTAATATATATATTAATAATAAATAAATACCAAATATAATATAAATTATTATTACATAGCTGATCCAGAATTTATATCATTTATACCACAATGCGATGGTTTTCGATGTAATCTTGGAGAATGCTTAGAGTTGAATAAAACGTGCAATGGAATTTATGATTGTAGAGGTGGAGAAGATGAAAATGCAAATTTATGTTACGAAAAAGAAAGGCAATGTAATATTACAAATAATTGTTGTAAGTATTTATTTCCCTAAAATTTTTCACACCATAGTGAGTTGTTTTGTTAAATAATGCAAATTTAAAATTTAAAAAAAGATACAATCTCTTTTCAATTTGGCATGTTTAAAATAAATTGAAAATTGACCAAATAATATAGCATGTAATACATTATGCATAATAAATTGTATTATTGGCTGAGAGAGGTTTGGATAACTATAAATTTGCCTCTAAGGCCATATATAATAGTTTAAATCACCCGTACCTACATATTTTTTATAAATCTTTTCAAGCAGTAAAAATCACTGCCTTAATTTTGTAGGGAAGACAATTTAAAAATCTCCTGTACATTTTTTAATTGAATATAAATTTTAGCGTTTTAAAAACGTTTTTCATAACTTGTAATTAAGTATACTTAGTGATGTAAAAATTACCGTAATTTATTTTTGGTCGGTTATATTCGGTAAATTACGAGAACTTACCGTAATTTATAAGAATTTTAGGAAATTTCGCTATTTTTTTAGCGGTAAACTGCATAAGGTAGGTAATTTATTATCCTTGTTTAAAAATATACTATTAAACAAAATTTCAATAATTTAGCTTTAAAATTGAGCCCAGAATGAATAACTTTGTATTAATTTATTGTATACATATATACATATATAATTATACATATTGTTAACAATATGTCATACGACGTATAATTTTAAACAAAATCATATTTTCTAAAGTACGTACCCGAAAAATAAAACTGGAACAGATAAAAATAAAATATTTTAATGACAGTTCAAAAGACAGAGAACAGAAAAAATAATAATATATTTTAAAAAGTAACCGTCCAAACGAAAACAAAATAAAAAACATAATTATATTTCCCATTTATTGAGTTTTCTTTGAAGTAATCCCATATTGGTCCTTTATATTTCGGCATATTTAGCACTTGGAACTTTGGTTCATCACAAACCACAACACAACACAATCGCGTCGCATTAACGTGCAGAAGCAAAAGTTTCTTAATGACTGGTGGCCGAAAACAAGCAATAATGCAGCACAAGAAGTGTGCCAGGGAAGTACGCCGTCCGCCGGGAATCACACGCCGTCCGCCGGGGAATCACACGCGATTAACGCGATAGCGAATTTATTGGGTAATATTACCGGGAATGTTCTCGGTAATATTACCGTGATATGTTACCCAAAAGCGAATATTCCTTTGAGGGTGAGCGAATATTACCGTAAGTTACGGAATTTATAGGAATATTCGCTTCGTAATATTCGCCCGTCGCATCACTAAGTATACTTAGTTACTTATAACGAAAATGTAACAAAAAATGTGAGGAACAATAAATAAATAAATTTTATCATATGATACTATGTTCGATAATTAAAATATACACTGATTAAATTACCTTTATTAAAAACACTAAAAAAGAAATAAGGAACATAATGTTAAAAGCCGAACGTTATTTTATAGAAAGCAAAAATATAGTACATAGCATGTACTACATAAATGTAAATAATATTTATTCAACACCCATTTCATTTTTTAACTTTAACTGGTGGGCGAAATTTTACCTTTCCCACTAGTGGGCGAAATATCATTTCGACCACTAGCTTTAAGTTCAAATTGAAAAAAGTGAGGTTAAAACTTCTTGACAGCTGTTAGATATCAGATAACATATCAAATAAAATTGGATTTAAATTCCTTGTGGTAGTTGAATAAAATATTCTGTGCGACTATTGGTCAAAAAAAGAGATTCCACTCGCGTGTTACCTCCACCCTCAAGGAATCTCCTCTTTCCCTACATTTTAATTAATTCAATAAAAAAATCATGTCTTTAACATACCACCAAAACTTTATAAGCTCAGGCTTTGAAATAAAATAATCGGTGTCAGTGTCAGTAAGTTTAACAAATAGGGACATACACCATTCCTAAAAACAAATGTTCGTTGTTTATATTTGTACTAAGCTATAATTTTTATTTAGCATGTTCCACTGATGAATTTAAATGCAGCAACAGTAACAAATGTGTTAAAAAATCGGCATTTTGTAACAAATTCAAAGATTGTGAAAATGGAGAAGATGAACCAAATATTTGCTCTTGTAAAGCCTATTTGAAACTTACTCATCCTGAAAAAATATGTGATGGAAAGATTCATTGTCTCGATCGATCCGACGAAGATCCATTGGAATGTTCTTGCACTCCGGAAAAATATCAATGTTCAGGGTAAATATTTTTAATTAATTGGACTTGTAAGGTTAATTTTGAGGTAGGAGAGGTTAAAACCCACTGGTAGCTTTGATTATCCCTACCTTGCAAGCTCATCAGTCTTTTTATTTCCTTCATTACCATTATCTTTCTTCTGCTTATTGTTTTTTATTTATATACAAGCTTTATTATTTTATGAACAGCCTCAAGTATGCCTCTGATTTCACAGCTGAGACGTTTTGAGAACACTCTTTCCCTTCAGAGCCTCAGTCGGTTCTGGATACATCTGTAAGGATAGAAATATCAGGCGAGCTATTTGGGTATCCATTTATAAACACTCGATAAAAAGTGTTAAAATTATAGCTCCCTACAATGTGATCACTGCACCTAAAGGGAGTGTCTCTCGGACACTTTTGTCCAAATTCCATAGTAGTAACAGGGTAGACTTACTATCTCTATTCTACGCAACATCGAATGGAGGGCGGATACAGTAGATGTTTCCGAAAGGTAGGCGTGCTGGTTTGGATGCAAAGAGTACGTTATTTATATTGCATCTCTTATATGCCTATTAAACAGCCTCTTCAGTGTTCATAGGAAAAAGACAGGAGAGGCTAATGGGTCTACAAGCTTTGCGGCTGAAGTGGACCCCAGTTTAGGTATAAATACTACCTTTATATCCTTTCATACATTTGGTATATAATATATTATTATTATAATATATTATTTGGTATATAATATATTATGACCTAAATATTTTCATTCAAAAAGAGGACAGTGCTGCCAAACCCCATTTTAGTAAAGCTGGAAATATTATGTCCCTTCCAAGTAAAGAAAAAGCTTAAAATTATTTTACAGCCCAGGCTATTTTGTTCTTAGTCATAACAAAGGTTACCTCAAGCTCCTCCTTCCGCGTAGAAGGGGTGCGAGAAAGCTAGGTCAGGGCCTAACAAATAAATCAAGATGAATGGAAAATGTATAATAAAAGTAACATGTGGGATCCTTGGACAAAATTATTTTTACACTGAGGTGGATTTAATAATATTGCAAAACTTTATTCATATATTATATCACGAGAACTATGAATTTAATCGGTTAAACTAGGCTCAGTAGTTTTTTGTTTGGTTTTTCTTGGAAAATGTTGAATGCAAAATAATTTAATAAAATCACGAGACCGCGTAGCGGTCGAGGGGTTTTATTTTTAATTATTTTGCATGAAACTATTTTCCAAAAAGAAAAATCAAGTAAAAAACTACTGAGCCTAGTTTAACCGATTAAATTCATAGTTCTCGTGATATAATATATGAATAAAGTTTGACAGATTAAATTTATAGGTTGACTGATATACATCTAGAGTATTTCTCGACGTAAAGGAAACTATTTGACAATTCATAAAATCTGACGTATGTGTCAAAATTTATAAATATTTTTTTAAAGAAAATTCCATTAATTTAAGGTATGTAATAACTTATTATTACTAATAAGTAATAATTGATATTTCGTAAACTAAACTGCGCACCACTCAATGTGTCGCGACCAAAAAGTTCGTCCTTTTTCAAAACGACATAACTTTTTTTGTTTCTTGAACGATTTTATTTTGGCCTGTGATGTCTGCTAGCCCTATCCTCTGCCAATTCATGCTATAGATATGAAGCTCACTGTTCTTCAAGAAAATTTCGTACAGGGTGATATGTAAAACGGTCAAAAATTTCAATAACTTCATCCAAGCCCCGTTTGTAAAAAAATATATTTTTTTTCGTTTTTACTTTGAAATATTGAAGTATTATGTCTTACCTTGAAAAGGTTTTCAAATTTTTTGAATTGGAATCTTAGCAAAGAAAATTTGATTTTTTTTTCAAAAGAGTACATTTAAGGCTTTTTGGTAGGCAATACACTCACTCCTTTTAAGAAAAAGGAGATTAGATGGTGAAAGATTGTTCCTTGAATAATTCTGAACAAGCCACAAGCAACAAACTTCCATTATTTTCAGAGGGGCCTAAGCAAAGACAACTTTTTCAAAATGACATTTTGGTGAAAATTTGTGAAAATTAATCCTGAACCGATATTTACGTTCGTGACATGATTTCTTTATAATTTTGACCTTCTGATTGTGATTCAGTTGTCAAATTTAAGTTTCAGATTCACTAAAAATCGAAATTCGAAAACAATTCCCGGCTGTTAAATTGCCTACAAAAAATGTACTCTTTTTTAAAAAAAATCATATTTTCGTTGTCAAGATTCCAATTCCAAAAATTTGAAAAATGTTTCAAGGTAAGACATAATACTTTATTATTTCAAATTAAAAACAAAGTAAAAAGAAAAAAAATATTTTTTTACAAACGGGGCTTGGATGAAATTATTGAAATTTTTCACCGTTTAACATATCACCCTGAGGAAATTTACTTGAAGAAACTTAAGCTTCATATATATATCATGAATTGCCAGAGGATGGGGCTAAGAGACATCACAGACCAAAATAAAATCGTTCAAGAAACGAAAAAGTTATTTCGTTTTAAAAAAGAACGAACTTTTTGGTCGCGACACATTGAGTGGTGCGCAGTTTAGATAACTTATTTTTTATTGTTTTTTAAAAAATATTTGTTAAAACTTGTAAATAACACCATAAAATCGTAAACAAAAATCCAATATGGAGGATCAAATTTAATCGCTGTTAAATAGTTCTAGTGATTTAATCGCTTATTTAAACGAAATTTATTCGAAAATTTAAGGCTTTTGATTGGTTCATATTACAATGAGGGAAATAATCATTGTAATTTTTGCACTGTTTTTAATTTAGTGGAAGTTGATGTAATTGGACAAAACTGTTTATCAGGGTGGAGCAAAAATACTGTGTTTAAAATTTTGTGTTGAAATTCTTTATGTAATAGTTGAAAAGTTTTTTTTAATACTTTAGAATGTACCCATAAAATAAAATGTTCAAACGGTATTATCTTCCACCCTCTACCAGCCCATTTAATTATAGTATAAAATATAAATAACAACTTTTCATTACTATTACATAAAGAATATCAACATAAAAATTTCAACACAGTAAAAAACTAAATGTTTACAAAATAGTAGTACCTACGATTTTAATTAACATCCGCTGTTATTGCTAATGCACAGGGTGTCACAAAATTTAGGTAAAAAACTTATTATTACTTTTGCACCCTGTATATGCTCAAATTAAAATCTTAGTAAAATTGTTTACCATAGCATCGTAACTAAAGAGTCAACCTACAATAGACCTATCCCATAAAACAGACTTTTGGATAGCGCGTGCCTGAAGAAGAGTGGTATCTCTTTCTCTTTTATATAATTAAAAAAAGACGACGTGCCTTTTCACGCACGCGCTATCCAAAAGTCCGTTTTATGGGATAGGTCTATTAAACAAAAAACATCAAAATCAGATGAGCGGTTCGCGAGGAAACACTTTATCTGAGGAGTTGGCTTTAAAATAGTGTATCTTTGTTAATAACAGAGATAATCGGGGTCTTGATATAACTTTCATGTTAACTGGTTTTGTTAAAAATATTACCAGAAAATAAATTTTAGTTAGCTGTTTAGCGTTTTATTAGCTGACAAGCTTTTCGTTTCTTTTAATATAGTCTTGTTTCCCCCACTACGTTTTTTCGGCTGTTTATCTTTACGAAATCAAAGCAAGCCATAACTCATAAATCAATTTTAACAGATTCTAACCTCGAAATTTTAACAGCTGCTTCAGAGGTCCCCTAATTTTGAATTTAGCGCCACGATCGGAAAGGAAGGTCGGTAAATTACCTACCTATCTTGCGGCATATTCATAATCTATCTTTTCGTGGAACTTTTATTTATAGTTAATTAATTTTTAATTTAAAATATTAGTGTTTTGCTGCGAAACAATTCTACAAATAGTTTTTTGTAGTAGGACTCATTTTAACAAACTAAATTTATTTTAGAAAATTAAGTTCACAGACTTCTCTATAGATATTTTTTAAAACAAAATAAAAATCGTATATACAAATTTACCAATAAAAGACTTGACAAAATAGGTATATAGGTACCTATTTTGTCAAGTCTTTTATTGGTAAATTTGTTTGATTACATTTTAATTTATATGTAGTTTGCATTATTTTATTTACAATATGCAACTAATGTTTGGGGTTGTCATAAATCAAAATATATCTATTCTTCAAAGAATTAATTTGAAAATATAAAAGTTTAAAAAATATATAGAAATCATGTATTACTTACTATCATTGCATAAGGTGTAATTTAGATAAAAACATAGTTTGTTAAATTAAAATAAAAGACTAAAATAGTACCTACCTATCGATTTTACACTATATTTTAAATCCAACTAAGCATATACAATATATCCTAGACATGCTTGCAATATTGCAATTACATTTTTCCTATATGACAACTATAAAGTGTTACATTTTATTCTGAAATGCTGAAGATTTTGCTTTTATACTTTATGGTCATGGAAGATTTTTGTTAAATAGGTATATAGGTCTGGCAACCCTAAAGAAGTTCCTAAATTATTATAAGAAAAACATGTTTTACAAAACCACTTACTTAGGTTCTATATAACCACAATATATATTTTAAACTTGTTTTGAAGGCCCTTTTTAATTTTGATAAAACATAACCTAACAAGTAATTTTCTGACTCTGGAACCTTTATCAGGGTAACTATCGAATGCGCACAGCGGTCAGTTTTTACCTGCAAAAATTAACCCTTAATCCCATTCCCAATTGATTTACGGGGTGATCTCAAAAAGGCTATTAAGGGACACATATTTAAACAATAAATTTATTATTATTTTGTTATATATTTATAACAAACTTTTTGTACAAAATCAAACCTAGTAATTGAATTATTTTTATAAGTAACTAAATTGGATATATAATCCTGATGTTTCTTATAGTTGGCATTTTTAGAAACAGGCAAGTGAACACTGTTTATTTTAATTGTAGTGTTTAACTGAATATCTCTCAACACACATATGAACCTGAAAATGTCTGGGTGCGCAACAT